TAACCTGACCCATAACCATAACCCAAGGATCCATAAGAGCAGGGTGAGGAACTACTGAGTACCATGGGTGGCATGATTGCAGTGACGACAGGCTCAGGAATGGTCAACACACATGTAGGCGGCTGGATCACTATTTCCGATGGTGGGAGCTGGCTGGTTCTTGAGAAGTTGGTTCCAGAGGTCACACCAAGCATGCCTGATGGCCCTCCACCGATGGACCCTCCAAACCCACTGTAACCATAACCACTCCAACCTGAGACGGTGGGTCCAGTTCTGCAGGACCCAAGTCCAACGTTTGAGGTGGCACATGGCATGGTGTAGGATGGGTTGAAACACGCCATGGTGAAGTGATGGAGGTTGGCTGGAACAAAGCATGGAAACCAGAGATGAAAAGAAGCAGAGAACATGAAACTCAACTAGCTACATTGCTTTCTGATCTAAGCTTCATACTTGTACAGTCAATACTATGTCAGAGGAATTTCTTGATTAGACCAATGTGTAAGGTCCATCTTTTGATAGCTTCTGGAGATACCACCAAAGCTTTGAAGGACATTTTAATTCTAGCTTGCGACTGGTGGACAGCAGAGGGTCTGAGATCATCCCCATTCCAGGGCTAGTTCTAGATATCGGATATATTAGCAACCTAACATGCAGAAGGAAACTCTTGATGGGACATCATCTCCACCACTTGCGATTCTTCCTATCCTCTTTGCTTCCAAAAGTCAGGTTCTCTATGATTGCTATAAACTAAAGCTGAGATTAAACTTTTCATATGGAAGAATCATTTTGAGATATGCTTTTTCCCCCTCTTGGTCTTATCTTCTCCTTCCCTAGGAAAGGACAAGGCAGTCGGAAGCCCCACAAAATGTTCTACAGATCTTCTCCACTGCATTTTGCTACTAGTTGCTGTTTCTTTCACCAAGGCACCCTCAAATTTAGGACAAGACCAGTCCATTTAGGGAGATATTAAAATAATGGGCACACCCTCCAGGAACCTGCTGGACAACATCTCCTTTTGACCCTTAGAAGATCCAAGGTGGAGATTTCATCTTCTCCATCTTCTGTCCACAATCGTCCAATAGAATAGAATAGAGCTGGAAGGGACCTTGAAGGTCTTCTAGTCCAGCCGCCAAGCAGCAGAACCTTTACCATTTCAGAGAAGTGGTTGGATAGTCTAGTGTCTCTTCTTAAAACCTCCAGTGAGGCAGATCAAACTTGGCAGAAACAAGCCCCTTTGAGAAGTTTGCTTGTTCGGGCCAAGATTGATCTGGATCAAAGTAAGCATCTGGATTGAGATTGTCCTTGACGTTGAAATTAAAACTGGTTTGGGCCTCTCGCATCTCAAAAAAAAGAAGGGAAAAAAAGGTCGAATTAACGAAAGAAGATAGTCTTACCTGAATCTGAAGATAAGGAGAAGGAGCACCTGAGAAAGCTTGGATTTCACATTCTTTTTATATCCAAATTTGGGCCCTGAGCTGGGATTAAGACATCATATTTTTATAAGTACTTAATTAATAGTGGCCCTGTAGTGTTGTATGGAGTTCTAATCCCATTGACTTCATTTTTTCATCTCCATCAGCAATTTTAGAATGACATCTTCAACGTTATCCCCTTCTTGTTTAAAAAAAACAACGGGCTTGCTTTTTAATTGGGTGCCACCCACAATTAACTAGTGCCCTATTTAAAAATTCATTTTAAAAAACCAAAATATAATATTCACTGCTCAAGGAAAAGCCATATTTTTTTGTTTATTTCCATAAATCAAGCCTTGGAAACAACCTCATTGTTGAGTAATCCTTTAATTCAAGTGACAAGAAGTATCCCCAGCTGAATAGATTTCACAAGAAACTGAGATGCCTTCATAAGGCGGAAAGATTAAAATTCTTGTTCTTCTCCAGATCTTTCAGCATTGTCCAATTCTCAAGCTGGGTATACTTATTATTTTCCCCAAACCCAGGTCACCTCGTTGAAATTTGAATTATCCCATCCAGCTGAGCCAGAACAAAGAAGAAAATATCAGATAGATCTTGGGATTAATGTTGAACTCATATCAGTGTGTGAAGGCTATCTGATTTTCCCAGCTAAACTTAAACAACCCCCCCCCCCAAAAAAACCCTCATGGGAGGTGTTCAAACTTGGCCACTTTAAGACGGGTGGACTTCAACTCCCAGAATTCCTCACTGAGGGAATTCTGGGACTTGAAGTCCACCCGTCTTAAAGTAAACTTGGAAACTTGTGGGCTTCATCTCCCAGAATTCCTCACTCAGGGAATTCTGGGAGATGAAACCCACAAGTTTCCAAATTTGGAGGCCCCTGGTCTAGCAATGTGAAGGGGAAGAACTAAAACTATATTCCCTCCTCAAAAGGAAATTTAGGAAGAACGAAGATACCCATCTTGTCGTTATCTGCAAGGAATGTAGGAGCTATTTTAACAGGAAAAAAAAAAATATTGGTCTTTCCTATTTCCAGGGAGGAGTCCATATTGCAATGAGAAAAACCAGGTTTGTAAAAAAAACATTTAAAAAAATTTTTTTTTTAATGTCTTCTCCTGATAGGCCCCTTGATGACTTCATCTGCTTGATCCTTGATTCATTTCCGAGCATCGGCTGGCAGGAACGCCAGAGGAAAAAGTGGCGGCTGTGATTTGAGATCTCTTTTACCCAGATGATCTAAACACTTCGCAAAATCTCTAATTAGTGGGTTGCCTCTTTTTCGACTTCTGGTTTTTTTTCTTCCTCTTTTCCTCCATCTTTGTTTATGCACAGAAAACGGGGACGGATCTCAAGGAGAAAATCCTTAAGACGTTTGCAGCCATCAGAAGGTTTATTTTTATTTATTTATTTAGTTTAGTTTGTCAAACATATATGAGAAAGCAAGTATAAGCATAAGTTAGGCAGAGGGACATTTTTATCCCCCTATTTTCCTCCCCAAAAACTGAGCCCGACCACATAGTTTCATAGCGGAGCATGGGTATCGAACTAGTATTAACATATAAGTATAAACAGGTATAAGTATATCCATAATAAATGAGTACGAATGAATGGGAACCGTAGGACAGGGATGGTTGGCATGCCGGTGAGCTTATGATGCCCCCTTACAGACCTCTTAGGAATGGGGTGAGGTCCATGGTAGACAGTTTAAAGTTAAAGTTTTGGGGGGTTGAGGATGTAACCGCAGAGTCAGGTAGTGAGTTCCAGGCATTTTTTTAAATTATTTAATTAGCTTTAATCACCAATTTTGTTTTTATGACCAAGGGCAAATGTCACCTCTAAAAAATCTGAATGACTATCACGCCATCCCGGCCAACGGTTAATTGCAGTGGACACTTTGAAACAATTGGTTTAAAGTGTTTGCGTTGAGCGTGTTTGTTTGTGTGTTTGTGTGTGGGTTTTTCTCCCCTTCTTCCTTTTGACTATGTGTGTTTGCAAAGCCTGATGAAGAAACAGGTTCCTTTTCAAGTGGTTTTTGTGGGTAGATTTTTATTTCTGATATTGGTCAGCCAAACAGGGTGGAACTCAAATGCTACCAGAATAACAAGCTTGGTGTTTGGTTTGGGTTTGTTTGTTTTTTTGAAAAAAACAGCAACTCTGTGGCAGGAATATATATTTTTCTTCTTCTTCCACTTCCTTTGTAAATTTGGGCAAAACGGAATCTTTTGGGGTTAAGTTGCCCGCCGGGAAGAAGGACAAAAAATTGGACATCCTTATGGACAGCTTATGGTCCTGTGTCCATCTGTAGCCTTTGAAGGCCACTTTGGTGAGAGGTTGGCTAAGGTCCCCCTTGGCTTTCTTATCCCCCAAATCAGGACAATTAGAAAAGAAGGAAAATAAGTGTGCAAGTAGACACCATGAATTATCCCCCCAGGAAATATACCCCTCGGTTAAATGAGTAGCTCCTTTTTCTTTATATTTATTCGCTCAGTTTTGTTTATTGGTTGGTTAAATTAATTTAGATGGCTGCCCAACTCAAGCACCTGATCCTGGTCAGCTCATAACATGAAAAAACACACAGAGAATGACAGAGAGAGAAAGAACGAGAAAAAAAGAGAGAAAGAGAGAGAGAGAAAGAGAAAGAAGAAAGAAAAAAGAAAGAAAGAAAGAAAGAAAGAAAGAAAGAAAGAAAGAGAGAGAGAGAGAGAGAGGGGGAAAGTGTGTATGTGTGTTTGTGCATGTGAGAGAGAGAGAGAGAGAGAGAGAGAGAGAGAGAGAGAGAGAGAGAGAAGGAGAGCAAGAAAGAGAGAGAATTTGAAAACGATTTATGGAGGAAGATGTTTAAATCCCATACCCTTGTTGTAGACTCCACAGGAACCCAACATTAAATCACGAACAAGTCACAAAAAAGGAGAAAATTGGTCCTGTTTATGATGGTATATTCTGATTTTAGTAGGAATTAAGATGACTCTTCCGGAGAAATGACCCTGAATCATGGGTTCGGGACATTCTGTCGATTCAGCAAAGCCCAAACATCACCCTTGAGCTAAATCCAGGTTGACTCCCAAATGCCTTGCCAATTTGAACATGTCCTTGACTTCCAATTTGAGATAAGTGCACCGAAACGGCTTTCTTGATCTTCCTCCCCAGGGCGGGGGATTTCTCGTCATCTCATCCACAGCATCATTTCTCTTCCTTTTTCTTTTTTCTTTTTCTTTAAACTTATTAATATCATCATGCTTTTGAAATGGGGGATGTTACCAAGGGTGAACGCCAGATTAAATAGCTCCCTTGGGTGGAGATTTCAGAAGATTAGGATGCACGAAGAAGGATGGGCCAACGTCCACGGCTCTTTAGCAAGGGGGAAAGGCAAAAAAACACACACAAACAAAACAGAAGGCAAACACCGTGCAATTATTTGGGGCAAGGGAGATAGCGATCAAAAGTCTGTTAAGAAAACAATTAAATCTTTTAATGTATCGTGATACGCCTCGTTTCCTTGTGACGTGCCCATCCCCCAAAAGAATATAAAAGGCTGGATCCGTTGGGGTGTCCTCACAAGCTTTTCCTCTCTTGATATCTTCTCCTTCTGCATTACAGCACAAGGTAAGGACTCGTTCTTTATTTATTATTCAATGTGCCTTGCTTATTTTTCCTCGGAGTGGCTCCGATTTCGACGGGAGTCGAGAAGGAGCGAACTCGGATCGAAACCTACCAGGGGTTTGATTCAACCAGCCAAAATTTCAAGGGAGATTTTTGTATTTGAGGGATATCTTTATGCCTCTAAAATGAGTGTCAGGGAAACGCTCTTACCGAGTTCAGAGCTGGGACGTGTCTAACTAAACTCAGGTGCAAAATGATCTTCCTGTAGATGACGGTACCGCAGAGCTAAGTCTTAGGGCTTAAACTTTGATTCGATGCCCCTTGGAATTAAAATGAGATTGAGCGAATTAGAATTCTCCCCCAAATAATTGCTTATTCGCTGTGTTCCATTCAACAGTCAAACCTGGAAACGTCGACACGGCTACATTCAATGGTTAGAGTTAAATCTTGGCTGTTTTCTTGCGGCTTTGCATGTCATATGAATCTAGGTGGCTTAGGGTAAACTGTGATTTGATTCCCATGGAATCAGAAGGGTACTGAATGAATTAAAAGTCTGGCTGACATAAACTATTTACGGCATCCAGTCAACGGTCACATCTGGAAACGTCGACACGGCTGCATTCATGCAACTTGGCTTGGGTTAAATCCTGGCTGTTTGCTTGCGGCCTTGTGTGAATCTAGAGGGCTGGTTTAGAATAGAGTAGATCTGGAAAGGGACCTTGGAGGTCTCCTAGTCCAGTCCCCTGCTCAAGCAGGAGAACTTATACTATTTCAGATAAGTCAAGTCAAGTTTCTTCTTAAAAAACCTCCAGTGATGGAGCACCCACAGTTTCTGAAGGTCCAGTTCCTAGCTCCAGTGATGGCACCAGTCCAGACTCTGGATTTACACAGTAACTGGTTAATTTGTGTTGTGTGAACTTGGCTCACTTGGAGGGGGCGGGCTTAACCAGGAGCTATAGGAGAAGTTATTTCCACGAGACATTGGAAGAACTTCTAAGTTGAGGATCTCCAAAGATTTCTGATAGCTCAGCTTTCTCGTTGCAAAGAGAATCAACCCTAGGCACATCTATGGAGATTCTCAGTCATCCAGGTCATAGTTGTCCCCTAGAACAAGAAGAAGCTTCTTGGATGAGAAGTGAAATGTCTTCAAAGAAAAACAAACCAGTTGCCTCTTGAAAAAGCACCATGGGGACAACCCCAGGCACACTAAAATTTAGACATGGGAGTTCCAGGATCCTGCTTGAATGCTAGCATCTTGTGCCAAACCACTCTTCCGTTTAACAAACTGTGGTTTGGTGCAACAATGTAAACCCATCCTGTGTGAGCAAAGGCCCGATTTAATTTGCTCCCTTCCTTTATTTCTAGAACTGATTACGTTCTCCCAAAGCAGACACCCAGCTCAAACAACCAGATAATCCTCAGCATGCCGGTTTTAAGGCACCAGTTACGAATCTTGCCCTCGAGGTCTCTTTTCACCCCAATTAACCAAATTAACTGCATTTATTTGTGAATGAACCCGCATCACCTCCCCTCTCTTTCGTAATCAACTCTGGCGTTTTCGATGATTAAAAGTCACACAAAAAACTTGTTTTGGTCCTTGAGATATAATTGCCGCGCTGGGCTAAATGCACAATGAAGCTAAGTATATGAGTATAATTTCTATGTGAGGGTGAATAATGAAATAATTATGGCCTGGCTTCCTTAAGAAGAGAAATAGCATATTTTTTTTGGTCTTCATCCAGAAGCAGTTTAACGCTTCTGGAAAAGAGCCCAGCAGATAATTGTTCATTTTAAAACATCTAAAAATCAACTCAGCTTTCTCCACAACAGATTAAGTTTCTATCTATATTATCAGAGGAGAGAGAGAGAGAGAGAGAGAGATCTGCTTCTACCTAGAATCAAACTCACAGCCTCCAGATTGTGAGGCAAGAACATCATTTCTAGGTCACCACCTACCTACCCCTTATTATTATTATTATTATTATTATTATTATTATTATTATTATTATT